ATAATAAAGAAATCTGTGGAAAGGCATGATCTAAACGGACACAGTATTAAAAACTACTACTACTACTACAAAGGAATTAGAAAAATTCTCAATGGCAAAAAAAAAAAAAAATGGAAAAGAAGAGTTCTTGCTTGAACAGCTGTAATATCGTGTGATTACATTACCAAATCCCGTCAATATACGATATCCGGTTCGCCTAATTTCACAGATATAAATCAATGCGTTAAAAGGAATAATTTCGATTGATGTTTTTTGTCAAGCAGAAGAACGATTTTCATACTTAAAGAAACAAATTTGGTGATCGTTATTTTGATTGGACCCTGAAACAAATCCGAATCAAGACCCAAAGAAAAAAAAAATGATATTTTCTCAAATGTATACCAAACAAAATATTTTTATTTTGAATTGTTCACATCATGTTAGAGATTTGTAGCATCGATGCTAGCATTTGTTTTAAGACAGCCATGTTTTTTTATGCATAAAAAGAAGGAAAAATGTTGTTTTAATAAGTTCCTAGTATCTCTTATTTCACCGGAAATCCAATTTCCTTTCCTTTACCGTTTTAACAAATTTTCTTCCTGTCGAACATAATTTTGGCGCACGTGTGCGTTTATGTGTGTGTGTGTGTGTGTGTGTGTGTAAGTGTGTGTAAGTGTCTGCGCATTTACCCGCTGACACACACACACACACACGTTTTAATGCGCGTGTATGTGTGTGTATGTGCGTGTGTGTGCATGGATGTAGGCTGAAAAGTAATCTGCGAATAAGACAGAAGCGGAATGTCTTTGGTAAAAACATGGATCCACATCACTGAGACGGAAAAGAAAATAGACTAGACTAAACTTAGGCAAACCACTCTCCAGTAAGTAACTTACATTTATCTGCCCAGGTAGTGGCAATAAGATCGATTTACACCTGAGCCAAACTTCCTAAAGATACAAAGGACAGTCAACTTTGAGTCCAAAACTGTATATATTCCCGGCGAAAGATAAACTATGAAGCCCTCGAAAGGATAAAAGAGTTCAAAATGACTGTATGATCTGTAGACGATGGTATTAAGGCAAAACAGATCTTAGCATACCTACACGTCTTTCCATGTCAATTTAACTTTTGAAAATCATATAACTGTGAAACCGGTAAAGTTAATCCGAATAAATATTCTTTTAATATTTTTATTTAAATTTTCTTGTATTCATACAAGTGTTTTCTTTTCTGGACATAAAGTGTGTAAAAACTGTCCAAAAGTTCTGCATATCCCAGCACTTTCGGCTATTCTTTTAACCATTATCAAGGGCAAATGTTATTTTTTTTATTTTTAACTGAATGTTTTTTTTATGTATCTAAAGTTATGAGAATGTTTTATTTTCCAAACACGGTCAGCACATTGAGGCTGTGTTCGTAGTTAATGTTATTGAGTGTTGTCTTTTCCTTTATTATTAGGGATTCCATTATTTTTAATCTTTTTTATGTGAATGTAGCTATTATACTTGTATTTTCTACTAGTCTGATTCGGATAGATTTTGGTAGGTTTCGTGTGTGTTTAAATGAGACCTAATTGAGCTATGGTCGGGTAAGTGTAACGTGAGTCGTCTAGATAGACCAATGTATTTATTTATGAGTTTGGTTTAGTTAGGACACATTTCCTTAAGAGGCATTTGAACTTGTAAATAATGTTGATTTTTTGTAGTTTTTTTTCAGGTCTGTTGTTATGTTTGGGGACAAGGTTAGCCGTTTTAAATTTTTTGCAATAGATAATTTAATTTTCTTGTTCAGGTCAACTGGGTTTGTGTATTTCTTTATGATATTTCTAAGAGAAAATTTGTCGTGCTTATAGTTAACATGTATTTGGTTTCTGTACAAAATGCTTAGATTATTGTTTTTATCTGAATGTTCAATATCGCTATTAGTTACTTTAGAAAGAAATAGTTTAATCTGGTGGTCGATGAGGTAGTTAGGAAAACCATTTTTAACTAGCTTCTGTTTTACATTATTGATTGTTCAGAAAAGAAAACACTTGTTCAAAAGCAAGAAAAATTAAATAAAAAGCTTAATCGCGGTACCATGTCAGTCGTCTTTAACGAAACCTGTATAAAAGAGGGATTGCTGCCAAAATACACAACATATATATATATATATATGTGTGTGTCTGTGTGTGATAGCCAGCTACTCATGTCTTCCGAGCACACCCGTCTACTAGGGTGGTTAGTGTTGCGTTGCAGCTCAGACCAGGTTCATTGACAGGATGCAGTTTCTTTCAGACAAACGCTTGTGGCTGAAAAATTACGCTTCGGCTAGATCGTTACCCACGAATGAAGAACAACACAATTTCTAGTAGTAAACCAGATTTTATTCTTAGTTAGTACTTTACTACTCGAAGCGAGTGAAGGCGTGTTGAGGCGTAAGTAAAGGGGGAGGTGCGCAATTCGGCAGCCATGGTCTGTCTTTCTGCGTGTACCGTTTCGTACCTTCTGTTTTCATTTGCGCGAGATGATCAGCTTTATAGACAACAGTTTTCTTTGTCCTGTCATCTTCGCAACTAAAGTGGCATGACAGTGACAAGAATTCACGTTATTACGCCGCTTCAAATGCCCATGATTTACATAGGCTACAAATATAAAACAAATTAAAAGCAATTTTCCTTAGTAAGATTAGCTTGTTAACCATTACATTACGACGAAACATCCAAGAGATATTTTGCTATGAAGACATTGCTGTGCTTTTTCAAGCCTTATCAGTTTCTGGCTACAGAGCTGCAAAAATGTAACCCCTTACATTTTGAGCGTTAGGGTTAGGGTTGGTGGTTATCGTATTTGCATTGTTTCCACTGTCACCAGGTGTAGTCAATGTTCAGACATAGTCAAGAACTGGGAGAATGCATTGCTTCCTGAACATGATATGAGCGTAACAGCTTTCCTTTCCTTTGTAATGTAATGTAAAATGAAACAAAACCGAGTAAATAACACACGATTTCAGTTCAAATTCTTTGTCCTTTGAGCTACCACTACAAACTCCGTATCAGCAGAGTACGTTTACTAAATACAAATAAGAAACGAATCTATATTTGCAAATATTATGCCTGCTTGCTTCGTGAATCAAACAGATATGTCGTCTCTTCGTCACGATATTCGCAGTTTATATGAAGAAATAAAAATAAGTTGTTTTATTTTTTTGCTTCACCATGTTTGCCTGAAAGGAACCATTCTTGGTGTTATCCCCCCCCTCCTGCATCATCTTCCACAAGCCCTGAGCAGAAGGTTCTGCTTTAGGCCATGAAAATTTCTTTGCTGTCAAATATCAGGGATAGACGCACGCATGAGTTCTAGTGAGCGCATTGTGACATTCCTGGCAATGCGGGATGTGCGTTGATTTTGCCGATTAACGAACATCCAGCTCTGCGAAAGTATCAAAGTCACTTGCAAGTAGCTTTATATCATCTTAATACATTTATTCGGGGGTTTTATCAATGTCCTTGAAGTTCCAGCTTAGCAGTGACTTGATCTCGATTGAAGGCAAATATAACCATTCAGGGTACACATCTCGCCATCTGAGACATTGTAATGAAGACGTTGCATTTAAAGCATTTATTCTTTTTTTTATGTTGATCAGCAAATGAGTAATCGATGTCAAAGGCATATTCAGAGATTTTTGTTTTGTAAAAGGAAATTGAGCATATATTTCCTAACCTGGCTTCGTACATTAAAGGGTTGTTCGGTAAGCACAGAAGTTAGTAACAATAAGACTGTGTTGCGTCAGATTTCAAGTGGGAAACTTCTTCAAGTCTTGAAAATGAATAATCGAAATCCTGATTTTTATTTAATATTCATCTTTTTTATATTTCAAATATGCAGGTACTTTAATTTTTACGAGAATTCGACGAGCCAAGTTCGAATTGCAGCTGAATTCGTTGCATTCAATTTCGCAATAATATCATTGTGAAAGGTCTGGATCCATCTCTTGTCCACACCACCTAGATATACATTAAATAGCCGTGTTTGGCAACCAGTCTAGAAGACTAATATCTCTGCATTCAAAACCGATATGGACGATCCCACAGGAGGAGCGACTACCCAGGATTCTGTTGACAACAACGGACATTGCGCACAAGGATAGTGCCGGTTTGTCATAGTCTCAATGTTTTAATATCGACTTTTGCTAACTTTCAATTCTATGGTACAGTAAATTTCGATGCATGCGTTTCCAGCTCTTCAGTTTTGAAATCAAACGCTGGTCTAGACGAACAGATGATTTAATTCATGTTGTGAACGTTTGTATAGAACCAGCTTTCTTTTTCGGGAGGGACTGTTGCCAGAAAAATAGTAAACTATGTACAACCAAGTTTAAAAAAAAGAAACATCTCAAGTTTGAATTCAGAGTTTTCCTTTTCCTAAACTGGTTGCCACCAAGGGAAAAAGAGCGAAGTTTGCGCCGTTATTTAACCCGTCGTTTTCCAAGGATATTAGCGCAAAGTGAACAAAATAGAAACAACTAGAATTTGAACCCGGCTCAACAATTATTACTTTTTGTGACGATAGCCATTACACTACACGGCACCATCAGAACTAAACTGATTTCATTTTCAATTCTCGCTTAATAAGCCTCGCATGCAGACCTTGTACTTGACTAAGTTAAGACTAGGAAATAATTAGAGAATTCTTGTGAAAGTCAACCACGAAAACATACTGTCATGTTTTCCGACCGACAACCTCCCAAAATCCGAACAAATGACAAAACAATATTTATGCATCCTGTCATGGTCGAGCAAGAACTTTTTAGCACCCTCCCATTAAACCAAAAAATCTATCAATATTCCTCGGCCTTTCCGTCGAGTATTCGGAGACAATCCTTATCATTGTTCCTTCCTTCCTTCCTTTGTATTTCCTCTCTCCTTTTTCCTGTTTCCTCCACTATCTTCTCCATTTTTTCTTTTCTTTTTTTTTCATTCTTTGTATTTCGTCTCTACTTCCTTTACTTCCTTCCAATCTGCTTTCCATCCTTCGCAGTTTTCCATTTTCTTTCTTTCTTTCTTTCTTTCTTTCTTTCTTTCTTTCTTTCTTTCTTTGTCTTTTCTCTTCCTTCCAATCTGTCTTCCATTCTCTCTTTTTTTGCCTCTCTTTCCTTCTCCCCGCAGTCTGTTTTTTTCTCTATCAGTTTTTTTATATTTATGGGAGCATCGACTAGATGTAAATCTCAATTTAATTAAAAAAAATAAATAAATAAAACCACAAAAGCAAAACTACCACCCGCCCTCCGTACAACGTTTCGCTAAGTCGTTGTTAAAATTGGACACAAGAACAGAATGTCTTCTGAAAGAATTTTGCTTGTCTGGAGCTGGATAAAAATCGAGCTAAAATTAATATATTTTAACAGAAACGTCTTCGTTGGGTGATAATAAAGAGCCTACTCTTGCAATTCCTTGCTACGGAGTTTAATTCTCACTGAGTGACTCTCTACTTTGTTTTTGTGCCAAACGAAGTTTAAATATTTTCGGTATTTGATAAAAATCCATATTTATTTATATCTACTGACTTAGACGTAGAAAGAAAAAAAAAGAAAAGAAAAAATGGAGAAGATAGTGGAGGAAACAGGAAAAAGGAGAGTGGAAATACAAAGGAAGGAAGGAAGGAAGGAACAATGATAAGGATTGTCTCCGAATACTCGACGGAAAGGCTGAGGAATATTGATAGATTTTTTGGTTAATGGGAGGGTGCTAAAAAGTTCTTGCTCGACCATGAAAGGATGCATAAATATTGTTTTGTCATTTGTTCGGATTTTGGGAGGTTGTCGGTCGGAAAACATGACAGTATGTTTTCGTGGTTGACTTTCACAAGAATTCTCTAGTTATTTCCTAGTCTTAACTTAGTCAAGTACAAGGTCTCTTTGTATGAGTTCTATTTCAATACTAGTCAGGTTTTCTCTATTCTTTCAAGTTAATCACATTTTGAATTCATATTATCGCTTGAACTTTGGAGTATTCACATATCAACTTTTCCCTGGAAAGTCTGCTTGTCTGAAAATTGTTCGTTTATAAATATTCGCCACACGATCTGAAATTCATTTCTTTTATTTCTGTTGAATTCATGGTCGGAATTTCTGCCTTCCTACACGCTTGGAGACACTTCCAGGAATTCTAACCTCCCAACCTTGCATTAAATTTCAATGGAATTTACAAACGAACACTGAAATATATAATATGTAGATATTTGCTAGTGTGAGATTTAGTTTTGAGACGGTTCACTTGAATGAGGAATTGGCAAACAGAAACATTTGTTTGCTGCACGACGCATTCAAGCTGGGGAGGGTATGCTTAACATGAAACACTGAAAATTTGGGTTCAAATAAAAAGCTCTGGTGCAACTGCGATATGTCACTATATCAACAATCACTCTCTCAAGCTGTAGGTAATATCAATCAGCTAAGTGACTATATATATATATATATATATATATATATATATATATATATATATATATATATACACACATTCTGTTTATATGTTCTTTTTTATGGATATAAAGGTTTTGCGTAAATGCACTGTTTTTTCAATTAAACAGTATTAATTACATTAACCGGCCTAAATGTTTGAGAAATTTCGTAAAAAATATGTGCTCTCTGACAGGAATCGAACCTGTAACCCTAATGGGGACTGTCATTTGATCTAACGTGCTGTTAACCATTTGCCCACAAAGAAGAACATCCGAATTGCTGTTTATCAACGATTTTTCCCGATCAGTCATATGGAAACCGTCATTTGGGTTACAGGTTCGATTTCTGACAGAGAGCCCATATTTTCTACGAAATTTCTCAAACATTCACATCGGTAAATGTACTTCATACTGTTTAAGAAACAGAGCAACTACTTAAATAAGTTATATCTATAAAAATAAATTATAATCAGAAAAAAATTGTCAGACTTAATCCATTTCATAATCCGAGTATGCCTGCATAATAGGGCGGCTAGCCGATCCTCTGCTGCAGACGCCTGATCAACACACAACAAAGCTGTGGTTTTTGGGAGTGCATTATCTGGTGTGATCAAAAGTCTGAATAACAGCGGTAGGCTTAAAACCTCGGCCACGATGACTTGTGTCTGCGTGATAGCACAACTATCAACAGCATCCAAATAGATCCCTCCACCCAATATATATATATATGTGTGTGTGTGTGTGTGTGTGTGTGTGTGGTCTCAAATCCTTCATAAGCTTAATAAAGTGTTTATTATTATAATCATATTGGAGGAGAATTATTTTCCACCCTCTAACCCTCTCGCAGGCGGGGTGTTGCGAGCCTCTCATTGCTCTACTGCTACTACCATGGAAACTGCTCGGACGAATTATATTCCTTGTTTCCACCAGGTCTGACCTTCACGGCTAGGACCCTGTTATACTGGAACACACCTATTCTATTGTTAATAGACTCTCCCGCCTATAATAAGTAGGAGTAGTAGCAGTAGCAGTCGCTCAGTGAGTTGGTGAGTCAGTCGATGTCGGACGACTGTTAGTCGGATATTAAAGTATCAGCCACCACAACTAGATTGCTGCGTCATTAACTATTATATCAAGTTCCTAACATTTTGTACGTCGAACCTATTTAAGGACCGACTTAGTGAAATACAAGCCTCCACTGTGAAACTACTCTATAACAGACCCGGTATGCCATTTACATTTGTAGCAAACCAAACGCATTCCCTCCATATTCCATCGGTGTGATGTAAGTTCCACTCGAACAGCTTCTTTCCGAGAAACACTATCCTGTGTAATAGACTACCAAGATGTTTTCCCGATCACTACAATCTTAACCTGTTCAAGTCTAGAGTTAACTGTTATTTTCCCCTCTTATATATCCATATAAACTACCTTTTAACGTAACCCTCCACCCTGAGTGCCCCCCCCACTAGGGCCCCGTACTCCGTGAAACCTACAGTAAAAAAAGACAAATAATAATAATAAAAAGAATTAACGATAAAATTTATATTCACGTCAATTTTGCCTGTTTGGTTATTGTGCTGTTTAAACGGAATCGTTGAATCTCAATATATATTAAGTTGCAATAATCAATTTTGCGTATTAACCTTTTCTTTTTCCTTTATCTTCTTTAACCCCCTTGTAAATATATCCATGAATATTTTTCCTTTCTTAGCTAGCGTCCAAGCGAAGCGATAGATATTTACTTACATGACTGAAATTAGATGTAATTTTGCCTTTCTAATTCAACAATATTTTCTGTTCCATTAACATGGCGACTGCTATTTTTTTCCATATGTCACAATTTGCAATGTTTCGATCCTATTTAATAGCCTTTTTTATATTAAATCTTTGCAAAAATATTTCCCACTAAATCGAAGAAGAGGCATTATTATTCTTCTGTTTATTTGATGGATTCTCCCGTCGATTTCAGTTTGATTTGCTTTCGTTTATTTTCTTTTACGGTATATCAATCTCAATGGCTTATTTAATACGGATAAGATTTTTAGTATAGTTTCGTATGAATAGAACATGTATTCTTTGTAAGAAATCAGTTTATAGATCAGGTTTTACTGACGTATTTTTGTAATGAGGGCATTTTGTCGAGAGTTAAATATATTGGTGGTATTTTTTTTTCAAAAATACATTGTTGGTACTTTTTTTAACGTATTGCGTGTATTTTTACTATAAAAATCTATTTTTATACTTTCGTGGTGTTTTGACTCCAGTTTGTTTACTATAAAAGTCTATTTCTATACTTTAGTAGTATTTTTAGCCCAGTTTGGAAGTTAACTATTTGCCCACAGTAGGGACCCTAACAGTTGGTACCGCCCCAGGTCAGGGTGGACCTGGGAACAACAGCAATTAAGAGGCGATTTCACGCTCTTCAACATTTTCCAGTCAGAGGCTGGATGTAGTTTATCATCAGGCTCAGGACACCGTCGATTTCGACCGATGAGGATCTGACAACTCCACACAGATTTTATGTTTGTGTGTCGTATGTGACACTTCAGTCCACGAGTGACTTGCATACATCTTGTGTCTGTTACTATGTTTCGAGGATCTCGAAACATAGCAACAGGGACATTTGTTGACGCTTTTCACCGTTATCTCTCCGTTTCTTAGCCGGTCAATACAACTGATTTCGATATTTCTGATACAACTCTGGCACAAATATCTCCAGTTATTTCTATCCAGGCTAACTCACTCGGAGTTCCTATGAGGCACATTGATTGCTGAAAGGTTACTTCAGCTTGTTTTTATCTTTGAGTCGAGGCCGTCTTTGTCTATTGTCAAGCTGTCTATGCATGAATACCTTAGGTATTTTGTCATCACTCATCCATGAAACATGACCAGCTAACGTTACATTTTGTGAGAAGATCGACATTGGACACCTCATCATCAAAGGTTTATTCTGTAAAGGCTGATTCGTTTTATTAAAATTCTCGGAAGCCCGGATCGGTAGATGTCAATTACACTGTTTGAAAAACATTGATTTCCACTCAAAAACGTGTATCCACGATTATACTATTAAGAATTAATGCCGGATTATAAATATGAACAATAAGCATTAATTCCTTAAAAATGACTTTGTTTACATTTTGGATAAAAAAAAATTCCAGATATAGACTTCGAAAAGAACCAACGAGAGAAGTGTATTTCTTTAAAAAGGTTAATCAAATCTTGTTTTGCTGTGAAGTCTTTTGTGAGTTAGTGGTCTAAAGCACACCTTGGTTTCCCGCAATAAAAAGTAGTACGCTTTGTGTCCTAAGAATACCTGAGGGATTCCATTATGTTATGTCATAGTACTTATTCTATTGTAATGGACTCTCCCATAGATAATAAGTAGCAGTGGCAAGTCTGGCAGAATGGTGTTGAGCGCGTCAGTCGAGATTCGGACATTTGAAGTACCAACCATCACAACTAGATTGCTGCGCCATTGACTCTTATTTTCCAAGTTCCTAACGTTTTGTACGTCGGGCCTAATTTAGGACGACTTATTAGAAATACAAGCCTCCACTGTGAAAATACTCCACAACACATTACCACCCTCCGAGAGCACCATACTGGCCGACAACGGGTCCTTAACGATCAAGTACAGAGGATTTCGGTTAGACTTGTATGTGGCAAAAGGAAAGCAACAAAATCTCTGATCAAATCCACATT